AGGCCCCCATGGTGAGGGAGGGAGTGGGGCAGGGGCAGGTGCTGCCCAGCCGGGGTGGTAAATCCAACCCCAGGAGTGGGACAGAGCTGCAGGCAGCTCGTTCAGGGGGATAAGGGGTGGTGGGAAAGGTGGGGTAGCTCCCTGTTGCTGTGCACACTTTGGGGGAGGCATGGGGGGCATGTGCGCCCTTGGATTTGTGCGTGAGATGAGGGCGGGCTGCAGGCTCAGGGCCCATGTCTGCGCCAGCCTCTTCCCAGCAGGGGACTGGGCCGGGGCTGTGTTTGGGGCAGGCAGCGGCAGTGCTGGGAGGGGTGGCTACAGGGAATTTTGGGGTGGCTGTAGCCCATTCCATAGTCACTCCTCCCAGTGCCATCCCCCCACTGGGAAGAGGCTGGTGCAGCCCCTGATCCTGAGCCTGCAGTGGGCAGCCCACCTTTGCCATGCACACAAATCCGGCGGGGCACATGCTGTCATGCCTCCCCCAGGGGTACATGCAGTGGCGTGGAGCCACTTGTGGCTCCACCCCACTCCCAGGGTCGCATTCAGTGCCCTGGCTGGGCAGCACTGCCCCTGCCCCACTTCCTCCCTCACCATAGGGGCCTTAATCTGCCCCCTGCCGCCCCTTCCCCCCGGCCGGATACTGCTCTCCAAGCTGCCCAGCCGCATTCTTGTAAATCGGCTATCAGATTGGTATTGGCTGATATGGATTAGTACCGGCCAAGAAAATCTTTACTGGTGTACCCCTAGAAATAAACCTAGACAGGAGGTATTTGACCATGTGCCAGTTAAATCAAAAAATGAATCCGTTAGTAGTAAGTCATTGAATTGGGCTGGTATAACTGCTAATTAGGAATGCAGGATTGGAAGGGACCTTCTGGGTCATTGAATTCTCTCCTAAAGGCTATCAAGTATTTTAATCCTTTACCACTCCTCCCCAGGGGAAGATTGTTCCAGAGCTTCAGTGTTCTAGTGGTTGAGAATTTAGTTATTGATTTGCTCTTGTGTCAACATTAATCCTTTAGCTTAAGTAGCTCTCCCTCCTCCATGGTGTTTTCTCCCTCACAATGTATTGATAGACAGCACTTTGCCCTTTCAGCCTTCATTTTTCTAGACTAGACAAGTCACGCTGTTTTAAAGTCTCTCCTTTCTTGTGCAAGGCTCCTCATTTCCCTGGTCATGCTAATAGTCCTATTTTTTACAAGTTCCAGTTCAAATTAATCTTTTTTGAGCAAGAATGACCATTATTGTATCCCTTAGTCCGGATGAGGCATCACTTTGCATAGTAGCACTAACACTTCCCTATC